TAGCTTTATATAGAGAAGTGACAGTACTCAAGAAGTAACATGAACTGAAAATTATAGCAACTTCCCATCCCTCTGTCTTAATGCATGCTTTCAAAAGCAATCTTAATGGTAGACCTTATTTGAAAAGAAAACATTTGGCCATTTGTGATTAAGAACAATGAGATTTTTATGAAGAAAAATTGCTTGTAGACCAAATATTGGAAAATATTTACATTTACTTTTTCACTTCTTTTTTCAAATAACCTTTCCTATGACTATGATACCAAAGCAAAACATTTTATCAAATTAAAGTGAGAACTGAGCCTCATGCTTTTCTTTCACAGAAATTATTATTAAAACTGTGCAAACACATGTGCTCTTACATTATTGCAGGTACACACCATAATTATATATTATTTGCCATCTTGCTAATGCTTAACAAGATGTGGAATTTTCATCTTCAAAGCAGTCCATAAATGTTAATCACCGTGACACTTCTGGAAGACTAGGAAGAAATAGTACCTACAATGTAAAGATAAGGAGACAGAAGAAGCAAGATTAAGTGATTTGTCCAGGAGTACTTATTTGGCTTTGACACTCAAGGGTTCCAGCTTTGAGAGAACATAAAATCCATTTCTCAGAGTCTTGACTTCAAATATACATTAAGGCTCCTGGGTCACTAAGATGCTCACTTCAAAGTTACATTTATATTCTGTTGAGAGATAGTTTCAAAAGTTGTGTAGGACAAATCTGAGCTGTGAGATAATATTTAGGCTATGCATATTTTCCTAGAAAACACAAAATATGTTTCCTGTGTACTTAGTTTGATTGAAATAGGTATATATAGCTAAAGTGCTATATGAAATAGGACTCTTTGGTTGTAAGTCCCAGAAAGCAACTGGATTAGTTCAGTTACAATTGATCAAATGGTTCCAGGAAATATACAGGATGTCCAGTTACACCTGAGAAGCAGATAAACCATGAATACATTTTTAGTGTGAGTTTATCCCAAATATGCCAATATCATTATATATGTGTTACTGAAGTCTAACTGGACATCCTGTATTTTTATTTGCTAAACCTGGCAACCCTAATCGAAAGCCAATTTAAACAAGCTTAGGCACATACGGGAATTATTGGCTCAGAAAACCTAAGAAAGGTTTAAACAAATAAAGGGTAAAAAGGTCAAAGATGCAGCTAGTCAGTTTCTCTCCTCATTGTGCTTCACTTGTTGGCTTCATAGTCTTTTACTGCAGACTTGCATTAGTGGGAAAAAATGCTTGAATTTATTGAGTTTTATATTTGAAAAATTTGCCAGTGGTGAGAAAATGGTCTAATGCTCTTCTTACTTACAGATCCAGAAACACTAAGGAAGGGCTGTGATTGGTCTAGACCTAGCCAAGTGCCAATCTCTGCAGTAGTCGACTATAGTCATTGCATAGGGTTTATAGAAAAAAATAGCACCTTCCACAGAAACTATATAAGTAGGGTAAGACTGAGAAGCAGAGAAAAGGAACAAAAAGAGCTCTAAAAAGACCATGCTGCTCCCAGATGAAATGGGGTTTTTTTTGGCAGGCAAAGAGTAGGCTACAAACACATACATACAATACAAATTAGTTCAAACAAAGCAGGAATTTTATTGAAAGGATGCAATACTATCTTAAAGAACACATAGGGGCAAGATATCCAGGCACTATAGAAGACCTGGACAGTCAACAGGAAGGCCATTAGGACACATTGTCTGCATCCCCTGTTTGTCATTTCTTCTCTTTCGATTTTAATTACTTAATCTCTACTGACTGTTCTGACAATTTCTGGTCCAGGTAGTCACAGATAAATACCAGTACATATTGCATAGCTGCTGGAGGTACATCTCATAGATAGCATGGCTTGGAACAGGGGGATATTTGAGAAAGTTTAGTGACCTACTTATATTCTGATATTTTGAAATAAAGACAGCATTACTACTTATTTTATTTAGTTCTAGGCCCCAGGAGAAAGTATATATTTTCATCTTCTATTATTTCCTTTTCCAAATTAACCATACTCTTGGGATAACCATTCTTAGGGAAAACATGTAACGTAGTCATACTGACCCACAGTACTACAATGATCCATAGATCACTGAATATACAATCTGGGTTGTCACATTCTATGAATTCTACAAGCAGGGGTTCCATACACTTACCAACGAAATAACAATTTCTTTTAAGCTAATTGCCGAAAGGTTTTACTCTAAAAAGAACATTCTAACTAAGATGCATTTGTCATGTATACTTATAGAATATGATGAATTTGTGGCATGAACAGCTTGTCTCACTGACTTAATACTGACAAACATTCAATTTGAAATTTGAAGAGGTAATGCTGGTAGTTACTAGGAAATGAAAAGCTTCAAAGCTTCACATTTTCTTGGCATGACCTCTACAACAGCATCTGTTCTTATCTTTTTTTAAAAATTTTTGAGTAATACTAGGAAGTTGCTAGACCAGATGAACTTCCTATGACCTATTTAGTAGACCCAAACAATTAGCAAATGGTTATTCAATCACTCCTATGAGTAGATTTATGCTAGACAAGTAGAATATCATGACCTTTTGATTTATTTTATATAACTTTCCATATACACTTCTCTTGACAATGCCTGGCACATAGTGAGAGACGACGATGGTCTGAAGCAAGGCTTTGCATAAGATACAGAGATGATGTGCTGCTATTTTCCATTGTCCCCAGTTCCAGTCACTAGACAGTCTTCACCTCTGGACTTGGAAGGGCTAAACTTTTAGACTCTATGTTCCTAACAGTCAGGAACGATAAGTAAATCTTTGGAGTGAGTGGGTGTGATCATCTAAGGATGTATAGGAAATGAGAAGACTAGAAAGTGGAGTTCTGAGGTACACCTGTGTATAATGAGTATACGGAGGAAGAGGAACCCACGAAGGAGACTGAGATTTAGACTTTTAGGTGGTGAGAACACTAAGAGAAAATGGGACCAAGAGAAATCACAGAACTGACAAGAAGAAATATCAAGAAGGGATGAATGAACACCATCAAATGGAACAAAGGGAATACTGGAAAGGATCTGTTGAATTTGTTGGGTCAGAAGTCAACAATGTCATTACTGAGAGCAGTTTCAGTGGAGTGATGAGGAAAGAAATCAGAACACAACATATTAAAAAGAGTAAGAGGAAAGTTTAGAGAATGAGTATCAACTACTCTTTTAAAAAGGTTGCATATGGTCAAACTAAGTATAAACACAAATTTTGCATATTCTAATATGACCTAGAAATTCCATAAGCTTAAGAATACTTTAATTAAAAAAATTCACCAATGACCTGATTAAGACTCTATGTAATTGTTCCTAGAAACAAAAAGGCAATTGCTATTCCTCAGCTGTTCTTTTTTCTTTTGTAATGATACCACTTATTTCTTAGTCATTTCCAAAGCACTTACCTGGAAAGTCAATCCAGCAAAGGGAAGAAAAGAGAAATTATGTATCTAAATTTTCTCCCTTTTCAACAAGTCATTTACTGACATTTTAAAATTTTCCCCACATCCCAAAGTAGAAGATATATTGTGTCAGCATGTTGTGTTTAGTTAATATGGATTATAGAAAAATAATCTGTCAACAGCTGGTTCTGTCATTGCTTTCTTACTAAGGATGTTGCTATAGATTACCAAAATGAAAGGAAATTATAGGCAGAAGTTTATATTATTCTGTCTTTGTTTTGGTAACTTTAGCATTCCCCTCCTAGTCTGTTTTATACTTTTCTAAAGTAGTTATGCTTTCTCTAAACCCATCTTCCTGGAGGACCTGTCTAAAGCACTGGTGAAGAAAGATCCGATAAACTTACTCACAATAACAAATGATGGCAAAAGCAGTCTAATGTGTTACCTCTCCCAAGATGGATGCATATGCAAGAAATAAAGTCCAGTAATTAATTTCAATTTGAAGAATTTTAGTTGTATAGGACGATGAAGCATCACAGCTACACATGGTCCTACCAAAATACCACAAATAGGATTTACCTTTCCTAAATATAAGGCAAATATTACATTGTGTTTTCAGCTAAAAGAACATATACCTTCAGGTAATAGATATCTATGATGGAAGGGCAAGTTCATTTTTGTTGATATTTTAGAAATATTTTCAATGAGATAATCACTAGATTTTCATTTAGATATATGCAATGACACAGTTGAAGATTTCAAAGGAGTTTGTGTACCAGGTTGACTTTTGACATTGTCACAGTTCCACGGCTGTTCTTGTGAACATGTGAGAGCATTTCCCAGAAAACGGTGGAGACTTCTAAATTAAAGGTTCTTCAGTGTGGATCAGGCTATCACCTAACTAACATGTTCAAGGTTTCTACGTCCTTTAGGTGAATGGCAGATCTTGACTGGTAGCCACAAGACAGCTCATGAACATGATTACAAAAAAACAATTTGCCTTAGTCAGATACAGACTTTCAGTAATAGTGTTCTCTTGGCTTAATAAAATCAAGCACCACTAACAATCAGTACTTCACTTTGCTTTTTTTCTATCATACAGCATATTGGTTGTTCTGTTGTTATACTAGACATCTGCATAGGTGTTCATTTGTACTCTCCCACTGTGTAAGTACTCAAATTCTCAAGCTTCTAGCTATAAAATAGTTACATAAAATGTAGTATGAATTTTTGTAAGCCAGTAGTCATCATCATTACTTAATGTAACAGACCTTTATATCCCCAATATAATTTTCTTTTTTTAAAAAGATTTTATTTATTTGACAGAAAGAGAGAGAGAGCAAGCATAAGCAGAGGGAGCAGCAGAAGGAGAGAGAGAAGCAGGCTCTCCACTGAGCAGGGAGCACAATGTGCAGCTTGATCCCAGGGTCCTGGGATCATGACCTGAGCTTGAAGGCAGACGCTCAATCGAATGAGCCACCCAAGTGTCCCATATCATTTTATTTCGACTCATATTCATATGCATTGAAAAAGTCTTCTTTCAATTTAAGTGTTGAACATTATCATCAAAACTGCTCGCTTCAGCAGCACATATACTAAAATTGGAATGATATAGAAAAGATTAGAATGGTCCCTTCACAAGGATAACACACAAGTTCTTGAAGTATTCTATATCTAAAAAAAAAAAAGTTCACTGAAAAACATGAGCCACATAAGCTAAAAACTAGCCTCGGTCTTGAAAAATCATATAAAGGATTTATGAAATGTACAGACCATAGGAAATTATTTTCAAATAATGACAGGTTTGATGACAATTTAATCAATAATGATATAATATGTAACTTAGAAATTTTTACTGATGAAATGTTTGTCATTCTATTATTCTGTTAGTAAAACATCTTGATTGAACATCTTGGGATCTTCAAAAGAACAGAGTAAGATTTAGATTTGTCTTTTAAATTTTTTCAAATATCATTCTCCTCTTAAATTATTCTCATGCTACAGCTAACCACTACATACTTAAAGTTGAACAGAAGAAAACTAAGTTGGACTTGGACATAATAAAAAGATTTTTATTATTGATTTAAGGAATGATGAAATACATTTGGAAAAACTATTTAATTATTTCATGAAGCATTACTTATAGACTACCAGTATGAAGCCCATTAAGCTCCTCTCCTTTTTTACTTCCTTAATTTTTTTTGTTCTTTCTATCCCTCTTCTACTTAATTTTTCTCTCTTCGGAAGACAGATTGTCAAGACATCAAAGTCAGGGTATCCTAGGATTGCCTGTACTTCTGAAAGCTCAGTCGTCTCTGCTATATCTTTGACTTCCTTGTGTTTTTTGTGTCATCGCGACTGGAGATATGTGATGGTAGAAATCTAGTTCAAAAGCCAAAGAATGGTTAAATAAATTGGGTGGCATAGATATTTGAGAAGACAGGTAAGCACTTGATATTACATAGGCTTTTTCATGACAGGAAAACCTTACTTCGTCAACTTCACAATTAAACAACAAGATAGCTCTTAATGCACTTCAAAACACATTCCTAACTTGAGAATCACAGTGGAAAGGCATTGCCTTTTCTCCAGGGCTATAGGGAAATTGTGCAGGGGGATCTGAATGGAGGAAGGGGTATGGAGTTAGTGGGATTGAACATTATGCAAGCAATGAATGTACCTACTAACAAGGGGAATTTAGAATGATCTTTGATTAAAGGTAGTGCCTTTTTAGATGTATGTCTGATTGTCTACAATGCTTGGAAGAAAAATTTCCTATTGCTCCTTGTGTTTACTATATGGCAATTTTTAGAAGTTACCAATGGAAGATTTTAGAATCCAAACAAGTAGCTTTAAGAAATTAGAGTGGTTTATATGATGTATAAAATCACAGAATAATATCCCACAAAGATTTAGGAATATTATTATTTGTCAGGCTCATAATGTGGCTTATATTGAGTATGGATCATTTTACTATACTATGATAACATATATAATAATTTTATAATTGTGGCTTTGGATTTCAGAGGGGAGGGTAACTATCTCAGGTTTAACTCTTATTTTTGGGAAATGAAGATGAAGTGCATTTGAAGCATCCCTAGGTGTGTTATCTCTGCATGGTTCTAAACAACTGGAAATCCACTTGGGAGAGAGGCCATGACAGAGTGAAGGTGTAATCTCCAATGCCATTGCAACTATTTACTCATATCACTGGGCCTGGTAAGGAGGGTACCAGGATATTTTCAGAGGAGGAAATACTGCCAATATCTGCCTCTGACTTAATAAGGGGTAAACCCTACATGTTGTATGTTTCTAGGATCAGGTAGAGCCTTTTGGGGTTTACCTAAGTTAGATAAATATATCTACATCCATGTCTCTATCTAGCTTAGAGATATAATTACACAGGGGATATTTGTTAACAATCAGGCTAGTATTTACCCAGGATTCAGTCTAATTTGGAAGACATCAAGCTTTTTTCCACTCCTATAAACCTCATTTTCAGAACTGGGAAGAGTAATTGCTTCCATTTGTCCACTGATCCTGATCTTCTCAAAATTCTTCTCAAAGTCTTGGGCACTCTTTCAACTCAAACAAAATTTGATTAGGGAAACTTTTTCAAGTGTTTGGTAGTATTACTATACTAATCCAATTTAGGAACATCCATCCAAAATACAAAGTTTAGAAAGGAATGAGTTAAATCTAATTGTTTTGCTTCTATTCACCCATTTTGGTTTTATTTTGTTATGTTTTGCTTTGTTTTTTGAAAACTAATCTACCTTCAATAAATAACCAATAACTATGTGTCAACTGAATAGAAGAAAAACATACTGGTCAGTGGCCTACCCAACAATATATGCTGTTTGCCACCTAGAAAGTCACATGTACTAAAATGTACTAAAGAGACTGTACGGGATATAACTAAAATGAATCCATTGTAAGATTTCATACCAAGCCCAGGGTGTTCTGGGGCCATTATTTGAACAGCCTTGAGGAGTGGCTGTTGATACAGGTGGCTACAGAAACAACTACTCTCAAAGCATTTGGACAACGAGCTTTAATAAATTTCTTTTTCAGTATTAAATTTTTTTTATTCTGTTATGTTAATCACCATACATTACATCATTAGTTTTTGATGTAGTGTTCCATGATTCATTGTTTGCATATAACACCCAGTGCTCCATTCAGTACGTGCCCTCCTTAATACCCATCACCAGGCTAACCCACCCCCCACCGAGAACCCTCAGTTTGTTTCTCAGAGTCCATTGTCTCTCATGACATATCAGTATTAAATTTAATAAATTTATTTTAGAGACTGGAGACAGCAGTGGGCCACCTGAGATACTTAGAGAAATCATAAGCAACCAGTTAAGTAAGGTAATAGATCTTAAATACGAGATTAAAAATGCCTTGCTGTTATGACCTAAAATATCAAAGATGTTTTGTCAATTGTAGTTAGTTAAAGGGATATTACCATTTCTCAGCATTTCATTTATTCTTAATCACTGGCAAAATGTCTGGCCTTTCCTGATAGATTTAGGCAACAAAACAAGGGTTTTTTTATACATATTAGCAAGCTACATTTATACTCAGGGACCTATAATATATATGAGATATATCTCTTAAAGCCATTCACTGCAAAGTAGATAATTGTATAAAAACTTATCAGGAATTGGTTTACCCATTGGTAAAATGGAACTAAAAACAATTTATTTCAAAGGGTTATCTGGAAATTAAGTGAGATAAAAGAGTAAAATATTTAACATACCTTGCACAAAGCAAGCTTTCAATAGATTCTAGTTATCATTAGTAAATGAGATTTCTCTTTAGTTACTAGTATAGTTTGGAAAATTCAACTATATTTACATAGTAGTCATTTAAATGATACTCATTATTCTGAATGACCTTTTCTTTGTTACAACCTCTAACCAATTTAGCAAAACTATAAAATTCCCCAAATTAATCTGGGAGTAAGTAATAGTTTCCCCTTCTTACTTGTCCAAAATAGTAATGGTAAGAAACCATTCTTCTAAACCCTATTTTACACCAATGCATGTCTGTGAATTTCCCTCTTTGACTATTTCAGAAGCTTCTCTTAAGTCATTATAGCAAGTCCATCCATGCTTCAATTCAGCACAGCAAATATCTAGTGAGTGTTTACTATATTAAAAGCATGAGTAAAATAGGAACCCTGTCGTCAGTTTATAAACAGTGTATAATTTATTTTATAAAGCTGCGCATTTTAGTTAAAGTGAGTCAGCAAATTTTGAAATGCCTGCCTCTATAATGTTATCAGCAACCATTAAGTTTAGATCAAATTTAGTTGTTGCTAACCTTAACAGAAATACAGCCCATCTTTTCAGATACCATGTGTCCTTATTACCATATTTACAGATGAAGGAACTGAAACAATGAGGGTCAAGTGAGTTACTCCATGATTAATGAAGCAAAAATTAGAACTCATTGTCTCCTCATATGTTTAACCAAGAACTCTAGAGACAGTAAATGGTGAACAATTTAAATTAAATGGAAATGTTAAAACTTACAATTTTGAGGCAGGTATTCTAGTTAATAAAGGATGCCCAGAAGCAATTTTAGTTATGTGTAGTACTCGTTATACTCTAAGAATGGTATAGTTTGCTTCAAACAATGATGAAAAAATAGAAATAGTATCCATCAACAGATATATTTTCTTTGTGAAATTACTGACAAAAAAAGGTGCAGGTGGCACCCCAAATAAGAGACTGGCATGGACCAGTATCTTCTCTGTGAAAATGACTAATGTATTACTACACTTCTGCCAAAACTTACATAAAGAGACTACTGAAAATGATCATATCATTATCAGCTAGTGTTCCCAATTGTTCACTGTTTGTATCACATATGGATCCTCTGAAATGCAGAACTCCTACCTAAAGAAACCCTAATATCATTATAAAACATGAACTTCTGCATGTTTTTAAAATGTTTTAAGAAAACTGTATTTGTTCTATAATAAACAGACATAGTTCCCCGGTGTCAGTTAAAAAAAAAAAAAAAACAGTGCAAAAAATAAATGAGATTCAAGTTTCAAAAGTTGTATTTGGAAAGCCAAATTAGAATACAAAGAAAATTTGATATAGGGATATAAGCCAATCAGCTTTGTTCTTTCGTTTCTTCTATATTTTTAGCTAATAGGCATCTACCAAACATCTAGCACTAACCATTTGGTCATATAGTGCCACTGATTTCTCTTAATTCGAGGCTTTTTCTAAAAAGATCTATTTTTTTTAAATGAGTTTTTTTTTAAGATTTTATTTATTTATTTGACAGAGAGAGACACAGTGAGAAAAGGAACACAAGCAGGGGGAGTGGGAGAGGGAGAAGCAGGCCCCCCCGCGGAGGAGGAATTATTTATTTTAGGGGGGGAGAGAGAAAGAGAGCAGGGAGAGGGGCAGAGGAAGAGAATCTTCAAGCAGACCCCCCACTGAGTGTGGAGCCCAACACAGGGCTCCACATGGGGATGATCTCACCACCCATGAGATCATGACCTGAGCAAAACCAAGAGTTGATTGCTTAACCAACTGAGCCACACAGGTGCCCCAATTTCTGAAGCTTTAATACAGATTAATTGAATGGGATGGTGCAATATACCCAATTCCCATAATGTACTCCATGATATTAAAATGGAAAGAATATGAA